AAGTCCAGATGTCTTCTGAGGAAAACCAAATGGTTGTTGAAAAAAACAAACACTTTTATTTTTTGGTGTTCCCTAAATTTCTCTATGTAGTGCTGTAGTTAGTCCTGACTATCTTTCATGTCAAATTGTTACAGCAGTACATGTTTTTATTTTTCATACCTAAACAAAGAATAAGAAACAAACAAACAAGCAAATAAAGTCAAACATGAAAAAGAACTAGCGGAATCATCAAGGGATGAGAAAAACTGTGCTTCTTATTAATGTCAACATTATTATTTTAGTTTTGGTTTCTTCAAGGGATTTTCTAGCCCTAACCCTGTACATAGCTCATTTATTATAATTTGTTTGTTTGTAATATGGGTAAATTATTTTCATTTTTCTTATCTTCCTATCCATCTATCCAAATATCCATTCATCTATGTTGGATGGTGTTTTGGTGTTCTTGGGATTTTTGTTTGGTTGTTTTGTTTGCTTTGTTTTCTCTGTGATACTGTGTAGTCCTGGCTAACCTGGTCTCCAACTCACAAACGTCTACCTGCCTCTACCATCACTCAACCTTGCCTGGCTATCCTGGAAATATATCTGGCTGAGAAGAACAGGCTGACCTTCAACTCACTGGTGCTGGGGCTAAGAGGTAAATGTTGGCACACCTGGTTGCAAAGTGACTCCTGACATTCTGCTTGGATGACTTTCTGCGAATTTAATTTGAGGTAAATTACTGGATATTTTAGTAATTTAAGCTGGTGAATAAATTAATAAAATACATTTTTTAAATAATTTGTTAACTACTGCTGCAACAATGATGGAAAATATTACCATTCAGGAATTTAAAAATCTTTTTGCTTCTACTATGGATAGAATTTTAAAAGAGGTACATGACATACATGGAAAGTATACACTCTTAGCTTGGTAATTCACATCATATCCTTTAAGAAATGGTTTGATAATAGATCTAAGAATGAGGAAGTTATAGGAATGATTAAGTCTTTACAGAGTGACAGTCTAAGACAGAAAGCAATCGTTAAAAGTTAACATTGGCTGTCAGCTTCAATTTCCCCAGAATGTTTAGGCTTACATCTTTTTAAGTCCTAGTTAACACACTTTTTCTCTCAGGCTATACACCTTAAACCTGTAAAATAACAGTTCTTTTATGTAGGGCCTTACCATTTCACCTAGTTCTATTTTGTTAAAACTAGTGTAACTACTGTAATTTGGTTTCGTGATGAATTCAGTTCTTTATCCAGATTCTAGATTTCCTGCTCTGTGGATGCAAGAAATAGCCCGTCAAAACATTGATCAATCATCTAAAATTGATTACCAAACTACTTACTCTCTTGTGAGCTACAGTGAAAGGAGGAAACTTTTCGGGCTCCTCCTTGCCCATCCCTTTCTGTGCTGGGACTACATCTGCTTTAAAGTTGGTCAATGAACACAGTTATACACAGGTCCCTCTTCATTTGTTAAGTTGGAGAATACTCATGTATTGGTCTATTTTTCCTACTCACTAACCATTTAAGGCCCAGCCTTGAAGCAATTGCAGGACACTCTTTTTCCAGCCCTGAGCAGCAGAAGCAGTTCAAGGCAATTCTCTACTGTGTAGTGTGAGGCAAGCCTAAGCGACAGGAGACATTGCTCTAAACAGAAATAAATAATCAAAAGCACTTGAGAAGAACTGAAGAAATTCTTAATATCTGGAAATAGTGGGGAATAGAGTCAAATAAGGGATTAGAGTAGTGGTGCATTTAAAGAAAATCAAATTTAAAAAGGGAAACTAGGGGCTGGACAGAGGCTCAATGGTTAAGAGCACTGGATGCTCTTCCAGAGGACCTGAGTTCAATTCCCAGCAAACACATGGTGCCTCACAACCATCTGTAATGAGACCTGGTGCCCTCTTCCGGTCTGTAGTCATGCATGCAGGCAGAACACTGTATACATAATACATAAATCCTTTAAAAAAGTGAAACTAATAATTGTCTTTTAAAAATGATAAAGATAATTGAAAAAAATACCACATAGCTATACTGACTTTGAAAAAGAGAAAACATCCCCCATTTGAGGGATTTGCATTAACAATATATTATTTCACCATGCCCCTATGTGCAATGTTAGACACTGAGACCTGTAACTTGACATACAGCTACACCTAATGGATGTAACCATGAAAATCAGGATTGAACATATCTGCATAGAAGAGTTCCCTTGCTGGAAATTCAATATATATTGGCTCAAGCTAACCTTCCCAAATTCTACACCCCTAATCTGGCCTGCCTTCATACACATGACATCATGGATCAATACATGCTGGGAAATTACAAAATCACTGATCCTGCCACAATGAGGTCCTATTTTATAATAGGTGACTCCAGTGACTCCTTGCCTACCCTGTTTTACCATACAATGTACATAATAAATATACCCTCCTGTTTTGGTACAAAGACACAAAGCATACAAATCCTTTTCTTGTAGTTGAAATGGACAGTTGACTACATGGCTTAAATTTATAATTTTAAAACTCAGTGGTGGTTGAGTTCTTTAAGAATTTAGTTGGTTTAATCACAAGGAAAACAAGGTCATTGCCATGGGGAATGGAGTGGGATCCATGCTACCTGAGTCAACATAAGAAAGCTTGTCTCAGAAACATTTTTCTACAAGGCTGGAGTTACTGCTGTTCTAGAATTAATATGGCTTCCCAGGGAGAAATCATTCCACACAATTAAGAGTTTAATAAACAAAAACCACTTTAATAACATCACGCATCCAGTGGTGGCTAATGCTAAAAGAGGAGCCAGCCTGGCACAGATTTTGCATTTCATATAAAGCTATAATCCTTGTCTCCTTTAGGCTCAGCCCTGATGTTATACTTTGAATGATTTAAATAGGGAGAGAAGGCATGTCTAGCCACTTAGGCAGAAGGAGATTTACAGACCAAAATTACCTTTTAGATCATGCATTATGATCCCAATATAAATATATTATAATGTATGATTTAAAAGATAGATTATTATGGATGATCTAAAAATACAGTTAAGAGATGCATAAATGCAATAATCCTCACACATACACAGGACATAGAACACAAATACAAAAGAATGGGCATCACCCATCCACACTGAGTAATGTTCTGAAATGAACAGCTATTCTGAGCTATTCTAACCTTGGGGAATAAGGCTGTTTTTTTTTTTTTTATTTCCTCCAAGCAACCTTGCTCAGAGGAAGGCCACAGAAGCTTCTATGAAGGACCAAAAGGGATTCATTTGAACTAGGCGTGCCTGATGTCTGTCTCAAGGCTGTGGGATTACTGTACAGAATTTCATTTTAAAGCTTTATTTTATGTATAAGTGTTTGTCCATATGTGTCTTTGTGCAGTACTTGCAGAGGTCAGAAGAGGGAATTAGCCCCCTTAGAACTGGAGATACAGGAGACAGCTAGTAACCATGGTTTTTGGGAATGTGATCTGTGCCCTCAGCAACACCACTCAAGTGCTCTTTGTTGCTAAGCTATTACTTAAGCCACTTTTTAATTTAAAATTTAATTTAATATATTTAATTGAAATTTGTCATATCACTTCCTTCCTTCCTTTTACTCTCTCCACCTCATCCCAAATTATTCCCTTCTAATATCTTCCCTGTTAAGTATGTGTGAATAAAGACATAAAATATAAGAATAAAACCTCCTAGGTCCATTTTTGTTGGTCGAGCGTTAAAGTTTCATGGCTGAACATGCTGTTTTGGACAGAAAATTAGGGAGCTCATCCCTGCCTGAGGCTGATTCACCCATTGCAGGAGGATTTACTCTTTATTGAGCAACATTGATTCTGCCCTTTAAGTGACCTAGGCTGCCTTGGACAGAAAACATTATCAAGAATAGAAAACTTAGAGTATAAATGTTCTAGAGCTGCAGAGAAGTCAATGGACACTGTCCCAAGCCAATCGACATCTCCCTAGGTTCCATGCACCTCCCTCCATATCCTTATGACCATTCTCATCTTGAATGACTTTGAAATCCTGAAATTTTTCCTACACTAAGTATCATGTTTACAAGCCTACACCACCACACCTGGCTTAGGTGGCTTCATTTAGTGAGTCATTAGAGTGATGGGGTAAGTAAGATAAGTAGTTACATTGAGAGGACAGCTTACAGTTGTCCATTATCTACTTCCCCAATGCTCATTCTAGTGATGAAACCTAGAGAGTCACTTGGCTGCAAGTGACTCGATGGAACTTATTTAGATTCATAGATTATTTATGCATATGCTGATGTAGGAGTGTACATATGCCAATGCCAAAGTGTAGAAATAAGAGAAAAACTTGCAGACTTGGATATGGGTCATCCAAAGATAGAATTAAGGTCATCATACTTAGTAGCAATTAACTTTACAGAATCAGGCAATTCTCTGACATTCATTTGTGGTCCTGAGAAAGTGCTATAAACAAATATTTAGTTCCCAGAATGAACAAATTAAAAAAAATAATGGTAGTATAAAATTTTCATTGGCAAAGAATATTTGTTGTTCAAATTGTTGTGTTCTTCTATCCTTCTATAAAATTGTGTTTATAATCTGAAAAGAAGACTATAGTTTACTGTTGTAATATTTCTACTAATCTTATTTAAGCACCAGTGAGATGACTCAGTGGGAGAGGCCTGCGTTGCACAAGGCTGAAAATTTGACATTGGTCATCAAAAGTAGATACCACAAAGCTGTGTTCTGGTCTCCACATATCTGCCATGGCTTAGAGACCAATAAGCACACACTACACACACACTACACACACACACACACACACACACACACACACACACACACACACACACCCCATAAACCTTTGTTACACAATAAACTTCAGTGCCATCTCTAAGTAATTCCCTTGGAAGGCAGTGAGTACTTCAATGCCAAATGGTTAACTAATGGGGAAAGGGAAAGTGTAGAACACACACGAATGCACACATACATGCACGCATGCACACATGTATGTACATATGTACATATAAACACACAGAACATCAATGCATGGTGTGAGATACGCAGTTGATTGCTGATTATCCTCCTTTATTACATCTCTATCAGATAAATAAAAATACTGCTTTGAATACACATGAAGTATTTAATGTTTTTTATATGCTCTTAAATTAAACATTTTGATATTAACATTTTTAAATTTTGTTGACAAAACAGCACACAATGGGTACAGTATATCATCTACCCTTGGACTTTTTCTCTGGAGGCAGACATATGAGGATCACTGAGTTCAAATGTATCCCTAAATCATTACTGAAATCCAAGCCAAGATGAATAACAAACAACAGAATCTCAAGGGAATTTCTGAAAACATTAAAAAACAAAACCAGGAACAACAACCCACCACCCTTTCACAGACACACTTACTTTAATTTACTACCTTCAAGGCTGCCATTAAAAAGAAATGAATAAGATTTTATTTTGTTGAGGGTAAAGACAACTGTGATGTATAAGTATTAACAAATCCTTTACAGGAACAGAATTTTTCTCTTGTATGAGATTATCCCTATTTCATGACTTCAAAATGGTATAGATAAGCTTTAACCTATTTACAGTACAAAAGACATGGGCAGTTAAGTTATGTTCATTCCCAGGGTCAAGGACTGATTTTTGACAACTTTCTGTAATCCCTGCTATAACAAGAACCAAGGGTCTAACATTCTCAGGAAGTTGCATGTACACTCCCATACCCACACAAACACAGACTAACAACATGGTTAATATTAAAACAATTCTTTAAACAAACAAATTTTCACTCATGAAAGTTTTTCCCTTGTAAGCATTCATTCCTATAACACAGGGTTGAGGCACCTAATGGCTTACTTACAAAGTTTTCTTATCATGAATTGGTTCATGTAACAGAAACCAAGCATGCAGGCTTGAAGTCAGAGAAATCAATCCTTCTAAGTTGGTGTTATCATAGTGTAAATATTACAGCTCTGTAGGGGGTGAGGGTACCCTGAGTGTCAGAAGTTCAGCTATACCTACAGCTATGAAGGGAATGTACCTACAGCTATTAGGAAAAAAAGTACTATGTTGGAAAGTCAGGCTGTACCTGATGCTGTGGAGCCAAGGTTGCCTGGATACTTTCAGCTCTGAAAAGAAAGATACCCTGACTGTTGGAAGTAGTGAAGGGAAGATATCCTGATTACCTACAGCCGTGAGGAGAAAGGAATCCTGAATTTAGGGAAGTCAGGCTTTACCAGACTGTGGAGGGAAGGTATTCTGGATAAATTGAGCTCTGAAGAAAAATGTATCATGACTGTCAGAAATCAGGTTATACCCACAGCTTTTATGGGAAGGTATCCTGGACTTGGATCTACTTGGCTAACAGTTTCCCAGCAGAAGTGTCTATTGCTTCTCTGCTCCACTTCACTAGAGTTTCTCAATCAAGATGTCCATTTCTTTTCAGCTCCAGCCCAAATTGGTAGTCCTCTGCTTCAATCAACCAAGGGGGAAACCACTGCAAAAATATAGCAGCCTCCTCTGGCTCCAGCAAGAAGTTGTTACCTGTGTTTCATTCTCTAAGGGAGGTTCCGAACACAGGTGTCTATTGCTTCTCTGCTCCACACCATTAGAGTTTCTGCTCCAGTCTTGGGAAAGAAAGTCTTCACCCAAGCTCTCATTCAAGAGATTTACTTGGGAGGGAGGAATCCAGGAGAGCAGCTGTCTCTGCCAGTGTGGAAATGGGCTTCTACCACCTGACAGGCACAGGCCTTCTTAGGGTCACAGGTTTTCCTTGGAGGTTTTCAGGGCAGAAATTGGTGGGACTTCAAACACTGAGCTTAAAGAAGCTGAGAGATTGGCTATATTTGATTATCAGGGATTGTTTGATTTTTGAGCCCAGAGATTGGTTGATTTTGTGCTCAGTTTGTCAAGGAAAGAATATGTTTGGCTCTGGTTATAAGGCCAAACTGTGTTTCTTTGGCTCTGGTTTGAGGTTCAGGGAGCGTTTCTTTGGCTCTGATTTCAGGGCCAAAATGTGTGTACTTCACTTGCTCTGATTTCAGGGCCAGTGTGTTTCTTTTGCTGGCTCTTTTACCCTGCACAGAAGGATTCACAAATTCATTTTTTTCATGAGTTTGCTGATGCAAACAATATACAAAGCCATCATGATGCTTGAATTGATTTTTTACACTATCAAATTATTTTCTACAGAATAAACACTCTCATTGTACTGAATGTAAGTGTGTTGGTAAAAGATCCAACTTCTTGATAATAAGGAGGCTCAGGATCTTTCTCAGGCATTCAAAGACTACTGTTATATGCAAAGGCATACTTTCTCTGCAGGATGATAAATGTCTCATGATTTTGCAGACTACTAATACATGCCAAGGTTTTAGCACACTGATTACAATCATAGATAGGGTTTCTCTCCATTATGTGTTCTTTTATGACACTGAAAACTACTGTGAACTGTAAAGGTTTTACTACATTAATTACATTCATAGAATTTCTCTCTACTACGGATTCTCTTATGTAGCTGGAGACTACTGTGACATGACTTTCATGCATTTACAGGAGACTGGGGCATGCAAAAGCTTTACTATGCTGATTGTATTCACAGGAATTCTCTCATGTATGGGATCTTTTATGCCTTTGAAGTGTATTATGACATGCAAAGGCTTTACCACACTAATTATATTCACAGAATTTTTCTCCAGCATGGGTTCTTTTATGCCTCTTCAGATGACTGTTATATTTAAAGGCTTTACATCACTGATTACCTTCATAGGTTTTCTCTCCAGTGTGGGCTCTTTTATGCATTTGAAGAGTACTTGGCCTTTCAAAGGCTTTACCACACTGATTACATGAATAGGGTTTCTCTACAGTATGTGTTCTTTTATGCTTTTTCAAACTTTTGTTACTAGTATAGGCTTTGCCACACAGAGTACATTCATAGGGCTTCTCTCCAGTATGTGTTCTTTTATGTTTATGAAGACAACTGTGCCTAGCAAAGGCTTTACCACAATGATTACATTCATAGGGTTTCTCTCCAGTATGTATCCGTTCATGCATTTGCAGCTGACTGCGTCGTGTAAATGCTTTACCACAATGATGACATTCAAAGGTTTTTTCTCCAGTATGTCTCTTTTCATGAATTTGCAGACCATGGGGTTGTGCAAAGCCTTTGCCACACTGATTACATATATAGGGTTTGTCTCCCCTATGTCTCATTTTATGCCTTTGAAGAGTATTATGAGTTGCAAAGGCTTTGCCACACAGAGTGCATTCATAAGGCTTCTCTCCAGTATGTGTTCTTTTATGTTTAAGAAGACAACTGTGCCTAGCAAAGGCTTTACCACAATGATTACATTCATGGGGTTTCTCTCCCGTATGTGTCCTTTCATGCATCTGCAGATTATAGGGGTATGCAAAGGCTTTACCACACTGATTACATACATAGGGCTTCTCCCCTGTATGTTTCCTTTCATGAATTTGCAGGTGACTGCGTCGTGCAAATGCTTTACCACAATGATTACATTCATAGGGTTTCTCTCCAGTATGTGTCCTCTCATGCATTAGCAGGTGACTGCGATAGGCAAATGGTTTACCACAATGATGACATTCAAAGGGTTTTTCTCCAGTATGTCTCTTTTCATGAATTTGCAGATCATGGGGTTGTGCAAAGGCTTTGCCACATTGATTACATTCATAGGGTTTCGCTCCAGTATGTGTACTTTCATGAATTTGCAGATTATAGTGGTATGCAAATGCTTTACCACACTGATTACATTCATAAGGTTTCTTTCCAGTATGAGTTCCTTCATAACTTGGAAGATGAGTGTCATATGCAAAGGCTTTAACACAGTGAGCATATACAGAAGGTTTCTCTCCAGTTTGACTTCTTTCTTTCCTGAAAGAATGATTGGCACATGTAAAAGCTTTACCACATTCAATTAATTGCTGAATCTTTGTATCTGTATGAATTAATTTTACAGTTTGAATTGTTAAGAGGAATTAGATCTTATGGTTCCAGCACTGTGTTTCCACTTATGTTGTTCCCTATAATTCAGGGTTGCTTTGCATCTTTGAAGATGGTGGTAAAATCCTTATTACATGCTCACATTTACAGAATCTTTTTTCTGTATGAGATTTTTCATATATTTAAAGAGAACTAGAAATGCTCAGAGCTTACCATGCTATTGCATTCATAAGTTTTCCTATACCGTGAGTCTTACCACAACTAGGGCAAACAGATGTGTTTATGCAGTCCTAGTACTCATGGGGCTTCCTGCAGTATGAGTTTGTTGATGTATTAACAATGAAGCTAGACAACCAATTATTTCTATACTTAAACCAAATTCAACATGTATACTCATTGTGGGGACTGAGACATATCTTCTAATTGTTCTGAGAGAGACATGTTACATTTTTCCATAACCCTATGTTCATATGGCTTATATCCAGAGTGACTTATGATACATCAACTAAGGGAAGAATAACAGATAAACTGCTTTCACATTGAATTTACAGTTTTACTCTCTCTTCCTCATAGCCTTGTATAGGGATTAAGGTTTCCCCCACTGCCCCTTGACCCTTAATTCTAACTGCCCCCTCACTAAACTTAGCATAGTTACAACAAATTTACTATGAACTATATGCCAATTAGAAGGTTTTGGAGATTTACTCTTCAATGCATATACCTTTTGTAATATGAGTGGTATGTAATACATGGAATGAAAGTTATGCTGCTATGCTCTTATGCTGCTATGATTCAAATAATGATATCGGTTAAGGCATTGTTTCCTTGTCTTCTTTCTTAAAAGAATGCCATGCAAATGCAATTCACCTACTTGAAATTGAGGTATATGGTTTTCTGAGAATAATTATTAATTAATTAATTAATTAATTATTATTAATCATCATCAATGCACTTTAAGCTGTGCTTATTTACGCTGTTGCTTTCTTTAACACTTGCAGGGCACACTGCAATTTCTTCAGAGGGACATTTGTGTCATCTAGTACATGAAAATTACCTTTCATATCTTCCAGAATGTTGCCAATATTCTTCAATATGATAGTCTTCCCAACTGTATCCTAAAATGTAATACCAGAAAATGTATGTTATATTAATGAAAATTGTGCAAAATTTAAGTAACCATCTTCAATGAATCTTAAAACCATGCATTATTTATTCAACTCATATTTCATTCTCAACCAAACTGCAGAAGAGCATCAATAACCAAGTAAAAGCTGTCCATTTATTTAAAACATGAAGGAAATTTCAGTCTTACCTATACTAGTGAGGTTTCTGTAGGTCTCCCGCATCACATCTTTGTAGAGATTCTTCTGAGAAGGATTCAGCAAAGCCCACTCCTCCCAAGTGAAGTTGATATGCACATCATCATAGGTCACCACTTTCTAAAATATCCAATATATGTGTATAACAGAAAACATGATGCTGACTACATTGCAAATATAAACTTCTTTGACAGTATAGTCATATACTTTTGGTGCTTCACACACTTGTTTGATATACTACCAAGTTGCTTTACAAGGAAACTGAATAGGAGGTTCATTGCCATCATTTCTATACAGTTAGAATCAAGTATCACCTTAGAAGAGAAATGCCTATTAGCAAACATAGACAAGTAAATAGGTCAACAATACAGAGTACACATAGGAGAAATTGTATGAGCAATTACTAACTACAAAAAAGAAAAATAAGCCGGGCCTTGGTGGTGCATGCCTTTAATCCCAGCACTGGGGAGGCACAGGCAGGCAGATCTCTGTGAGTTCGAGGCCAGCCTAGTCTCCAGAGCAAGTGCCAGGAAAGGCTTCAAAGCTACACAGAGAAACCCTGTCTTGAAAGATGAAAAAAAAAAAGTTGGACAAGCTGGGTGTATTGGCTCATGCCTTTAACCCCAGCACTCAGAAGAACAGGCAGCTGTATCCACCTCTGAGTAGAATTACCAGCCTAGTCTATGCAATCAGGTCCAGGACAGCCAGAAGAGTTTTCTGACATGGGGGCTGTTCATTTTGTAGACCAGTCCTGGCAGGCCAGGCCATCCAGAGTCTGCCACCATCAAAGTATTAGTTCCACCTCCACCCACGAGGGGAAGTGTGTGTGGGCCCTTTTCCAGTCCATCATCCCCTCACCCTCCTTGGAGTTTTGTGACCTGGGGACTATGCACCTAGCAAGCCTGCCCCAGTGGGACAAACCATCCAGAGTCTGCAGACATCTCAATCTTAGTCTTGTCCACCAGGAGAGAAGACTCACCCCAGCAGGCCAAAGCATCCAGTTTTAAGCCTCGTATGCACCAACTGGGAGAGTCGTAGAACTGCCTGCACTCACCAGAAGAGAACCTTGGACCCATACACACAAGGAGAGGGGGAGAACCCACCTGTACCCACTAGTGGAAGGATGAGAAGATGACAGTATGAGAACATATTTAACAACAGAAAGACTAATATGACACCACCAGAATCTAGGGTCTCCACACCAGCAATTCCTGAACTTCCAACACAGGAGAAGCAGAAGAGAATAACCTTAAAAAATAAAAAACTTTATGAAGATAATAGAGACCCACAAAAAGCAAATGAGAAAAACCCTTAAAGAAATGGAAGAAAAGAACCAAACATGAAAAGCAAGAAATGGAGGGAAAGACAAACAATCCAAATTTATGCGCTGGAACAAAGAGAGCATCTTCAATAAATGGTGCTGGCATAACTGGATGCGGACATGTAGAAGACTACAGATAGACCCAAGCCTATCACCATGCACAAAACTTAAGTCAAAATGGATCAAAGACCTCAACATAAACTCAGCCACACTACCCTATTAGAAGACAAGTGGGAAATACCCTTGAATTAATTGGTACAGGAGACCACTTCCTGAACATTACACCAGTAGCACAGACACTGAAATCAACAGTTGATAAATGGGACCTCCTGAAACTGAGAGGCTTCTATAAGGCAAAGGACACAGTCAGAAAGACAAAACGGCAGCCCACAGACTGGGAAAAGATATTCATCAACCCCACATCTGACAGAGGGCTGATCTCCAAAATATACAAAGAACTCAAGAAGATAGTTTCCAAAACACCAAACAATCCAATTAAAAAGTGGGGTACAGAACTAAATAGACAATTCTCAATAGAGGAATCTAAAATGGCTGAAAGACACTTAAGAAAGTGTTCAACATCCTTAGCCATCAGGGAAATGCAAATCAAAACAACTCTGAGATACCATCTTACTCCTGTCAGAATGGCCAAAATAAAAAACACCAATGACAGTTTGTGCTGGAGAGGATGTGGAGAAAGGGGAACACTTCTCCACTGCTGGTGGGAGTGCC